TTATAAAGATATTTCTGAATAATAGCAGCAGTCACTTTATCTCTGAAATGTATCCGGCTCTAAAACAACACCAAAAAGACTGGTCACAGGGAAATACCCCCTTGTGCCTTCCAGCACAGTGACCCTAATCATTTTCCAGAGTAGGTGGTGGTTGAGGTGGCCAGAAGGGCCTCATTTGCATATTATTTCCAACAAATCTTACGCAAACTTAAATATATATTCATGCATAACTTGACGATGGGAGATACATTCTGATAAATGTGTAGCAATACGGTTTTGTGTGAACACTATAGAGTGTGCTTACACAAACTAAGTTCTGATGTCACTTGGCAGTTGCCATTGTTATTTGGGGTATGACTACAACTCTAAATGTGGTCCGAGGCAACGGATTGGTTTAGTTATTGTTATTTTCTTTATTTTTTGGCAAGGATTGGTTTAGTTATTTTTTTTTTTAAATTGAGGGTATCATAATTCAGTAAAGTGAATAAAATGCTAAAATCTCAACAGTAGAGCTTAATGAACTTTTTATATACATACAGGCACATGTGACCCCACCTAGATGGAGAATATTCTATTTAAAAATGACTATTATGATTGCCTCTAGATCAATAGCTTCTTGACTTTCTTGTCTTCAGTTCTCATCGGTGTATATCCCATCCATGAAATGGGAGTCATGTTGATTGAAGTACATGTGTTATCTCTCAAAATACTTAGGCTGTGAGGGTCTCCTTGGGACTTTAAGGAGGTGACATAAATAAGGCCACAGGACAAAAAGCCACCCTTACTCACTCAGCTTCTTCCCCCAGGTGTGGATCCCTTCAAAGCAGTTACCCTGGGAGGCCAACCACCACGGACTGTACTGATCAGTCTGTCCCCACTCAGCATCTGCCCTGCCCTTTCATTCACCAGTGGTGGGGATAGGAGATAGGGAGTGATGGGTCTGGCATTCCCGCTGTCAGCACTCTGTTGCTCACAGTGGCTACTTCTCTCTGCCTGCTGGTGGCCCAGCATCACCTGGCTCTAATAACACTATTTCCTCCCACTTTCAATTCCAGGAGTCACAGTTTCTAGCTGTTACCACACCCTAGGTGCCTCATGTTCCTCTGTTCTGCCATTAATACCTCTTCCTTTGAACAATCTGAGCTGGCATTTGCTTCCTGGTGGATCTTTGGCCCAATTCATATGTCTTTGGACAAATAGAAACACCTCCACATTAAACAACTGTCAATTATAAGAGGCATTTAGCTTTGAGGGATGTTAAACCCTCATCAAAAAATGCATGGTTTACTATAAAATGATGGCAGATTCATTTGGGTGTGATGGATAGAGGACAACAGGTCATTAAGAAGTGGAGTTTGCTCCTAGCTTCAGACACCCACAAGCTGAGCAATCTTGAGGAGGCTGCTCTGCCACTCTGTTCTTTGGCCTCCTCTTTGACAATCCAACCACCCTGACTGGTGTCCACATCCCTCACCATGACATATGTATAGACAAGTGGGGCCATGCGTATGAAAAGGCTTCATGAATGTTCAATGCTCAGATGTGCAGGCCAGCACAACACAGAAGGAGCAGCCATTCTCATATCCAAGTCATCTCTCAGGAACCAAACATTGGGCCAGCTGGACAAAGAGGAAACTGGCAGGGGGGAGGGGGTTAGAAACCCAGACAGGCAATGAGAAGAGAGCCCCAACTACTCTCTTCTCTGACCCCAGCTTCCCTAGCTGGACATGGCCCATTCCTTGAGCTGAGTGATGGTGCCAGGGCTGTTTATTTACTCAGCAGAGAATCAAGGAGCACTTGTAAGTTAAAGCCATCAGGAGCTGAAGTTCATGTTTTCCTGCAACCAGTAAAGAAGAAAGACATTTCAGTAGGAGGCAGGTAATGCCACCTCCTGAGTAAGCAGAAGAGCCTGGTGTCAAGAGAATCTTAGCTGCACTCCCAACTGGTCACTAAGCCTCTAATCAGTTCCCTGGACAAGTTATTTAATCTTACTTTCTTCATCTGCAATTGGAGAATGAGACCCACCTCAAATGCTTGTGAGGATTACATGAGACAATTCCGGTTTTCCGAATGGTGCTTGACTCTGCTTAAGCACTAAAGATTTGCCTCCATTCTTCTTAGCATCTGTCATTCCACCGAGCTAAAGGACCCTTGGTAACTGTGTGTAATCCTGGAATGACTTCCCAGGGAAGGGGCACTGAACTGGTCTTGGCGGCTGCATTCTCGGTTGGGCACACAGTTCTGCCCAGGCTGAACCAAGGGACATCAATCAGTCCTGCACCGGTGGAGGGGTGGGGAGGAGCGGGGAACGGGGGTGGAGGGGAAGGGGCACAGCTCTGTGTCCGGCGCTGAAGGACTGAAAGGAGAAAGAGCAGACTGTGGAACGCAGGCCTCCGGGAGGGTGTAGAAAACCACCACAAGTTCTGGAGCAGGGCAAGGCCGGGATCAAAGCACTAGGAGGCACGCCGGGGCGCACCAAAGGGAGGCCAGCGCGACTTGCATCAGCACAGATTCCGTGATGCTCTGCAGACGTCTGGGGGCTGCTGGGCTTTACGGGAACCCACAAGAAAGGAAGGGGCTGGGGGAGCGGGGCGGGCGGGGGCGAACGAGGGTGCGAGGGTGCGCTCGCCCGCAGGCGCGCTCCCGACGGCGCCTGACCGTGGCTGGGCGCGCCCGGGACGGCGGAGGCCAGGGAGAAAGCTCCTGTTCCCTTTCTCCCCCCTCCTCTTTCCCCCCCGCATTACTGGAAGGACTGTGTGGGAGAGACCCAGAAGCACCCGGATTTTCGAGCGCAGCCGGAGCTGCTCAAAGGAAAACCAAAAGTGCGTCTGTTCGCGCCGCTCCAACACGCGGTTGTTCTGGGGAGGGCCCTGCGCGCCCCGGCCGCGCCTCCCTTTGCAACCCCCTAAGACTAAGCTAGGGCGGCCTAGGGCCGGCGTGGCGCGGGGAGGGGACTGAGAAGAGAGTGGCAAAGTGTCACGATTTCTTCTTCTGCGCCCTGTCCCCACCCCCAGTTTTCTGGGTTTTGCTGTTGCTGGGGAAGGGTTGATCCGTTTTGCGTCAAAGGACTGCATTTACTCAGTCCTGCTGGGAGAGGCGCGTAAACACCCTGGCAAGGATAGAAAAAAAAAAAAAAAGCTAGGCACCCACGGCTGGTGTGCTTGTACGCCTGCCCCACACCCCTCGCCTGAGCCCTGAGCCCATGGAATTGCTGACTGCCGGGTGGGCAGCGGCGGAGGTGCGAGGTCTGGCAGGCCTCGCCTCGCCGCGCGCGCACGTCCTTGGGGATGGAGCTCAGGACAGAATGTGTTTTATAGTTGTAAACAATGATCCCGAGTATTGTTTGGGATTACCGTACCTTGGGGCTCTTGGGGCGGCCAGATGCCGCCAGCCGTCCCGGAAACACCAGCGCTTTATATAGAGCCCCGGGAAAGCTTCGAGTTCCCGGCTCTATTTTTCTTTCCTAGCAATGCCCCACTTCACAGATAAGGAAACTGAGGACTGGAACTGTTATGTGTTATAATTCATAAAGCTTCACAGTCCTCAACAGCCCATCTTCCCATTCAGTCTTCATAAGGATCCTTAATTCGGGTCCTTAAGAGTTGGGTAAACCGAGGCTAAGATAGAGCCTTAGCTCCCTGACTCCTGGTACAGGCTTCCCTGGTCTCACCACATCATCTCTGCAGAATTGGAGCTCCGAAGCAGACAAGGGCCTTAGAAAGTCTTTTGTCCCAACCCCTCTATATAAGAGGAAAATGAGACTCAGAGAGGTTAAGAGACTCGCCCAAGATTCACAGCTCGTAAATAGCATTGCGAGGCGTTCGTACTGCAAGGCCTGTTCTTTACCCTATGCTCCGCCCCACCCAGCAAGGCGGGAAGACTCAGCAGTCCGGCTACACGCGACCTGAACTTCGCTCCAAAACAGCTGAAGAAAACTTGGGGCACACCCTCTCTTGCCGTCTCCTCCTCCCCCTTTTTAAAAAAATTTATAACAGTCTGGTGTTTGCTTATAAGGCTCGATGACTCCTATTAGATACGGCCTAACTGCCTGGCATAGAGGGCGGCCGGAATATCTTGACTGGTTAATTTCGCCTTCAAGACTACTCCTAAAAAAATTAATTGTAGGACCGAAAAAATAAAAAACACAAACACAAGAAAAGGGAAGCAGTGGGCAGCTCGCCACGGAGGGAAAAATAGGCCGGCCAGCCCCGCCTGGCGGCGCCGCGCCGACCGCACCCCACCCCGCCAAGACCCGGCCGCAGGGCGGCGCGGGTACCCCGCGCGCCCAGGGCGCTCGCTGCACCGGGCGGCGCCGTTGAGGGCGCGGACGACCGCGCACAGCCACAGCCGCGCCCTCCCTGCGAGTGGCTGTGCGCGCCGGGCTTTTGGCCTCGCGGTGGCGCCGCACTGAGCCGCCCGGCTGGTCTTCAGGGCTGTGATTGTTTTCTAAAACCCCGAGCCGAGGTCCGCGCGGCCGCTCTCGGGGCCCCGCCCCGCGCCCATCATGGGGCGGGGGGAGGCAGCGGCGCGCTTGGGAGCGGGTGAGGGAATCCCTCTCCCTCCACGTCACCCGAAAGCGAGGAAACCCGCACTCGCATCCTCTAACGCAAATGACCATCTTTGGCAACGTGCGCCAATGGAACAGACCAAGGGCGCTGCGCCCGGGGGGGGTTATCGGAGGGGGGGTTGAGGAAGAGCCAAGGCTGCCTCGGCTCCCCAAAACCGCGCGAGCCGTAGGCTCCCACCCTCACCACCGCCTTCCTTCCTAGCGCGGGGTGTGCGGCTGGCGTCAGCGCGACCGCGAGCCGGGGCAGGGCGGGGACATCAGCGTCCGCCTCCTCCCCTCCCGCGCCTCTTCCTCCTCTTCCTGGGCCTCCTTCCCCCGCCTCCTCGCGCGCTCCTCCCTGCAAGGTGGAGTCTGGGGTTGACGTGAGTGGATCCACATGGTGCGGGGCTGGAGAATAAAGACTGTGGAGTTGAACTCGTGCCATTGTAGTGACTCATCTCGGGCAGAGCGCAGGGGATCCGAGCAAACCAGAGAGCGAAGCGAGCGAACGAGCGGCGCTCGCCAGGGACAGAGAGAGAGAAAGGGAGAGAGGGCGAGGCGCGGACGCGCGAGGTCGGCCCGTCCCGGAGCTGGCGAGGGTGTGGGGTGCAGATCGGGGCGCCGGAGCGGGGCCGTGTCCCTGTCTGCGCCACTCAGCTTGAACCCCACGGGCACTGTATCGCTGACGCGCTCGGGGCCGCGGGACGGGCGCACGCTGCCTTCTAGTCAAGTGTCCAAGCCGCTTCGAAACTCAGGCGGCGAGTCGGCCACAGGAAGTTTATTCTCGGGCTCCTTTTCTAAAAGGAGGAAATAGAAGTTTCTCCGAGCGGGCAGCCTTTCTTTTCGCTCTTTTGGCCCTGTCTGAAATCGGGCGTCCCCAGAGCTGGCAGGCGAGACTCGCTGGGCTCTTCTTCTTTTTTAATTTCCAAATTTTCTTTGGGCCGTCAGTCCCGGCCGAGCTCCGGCTGCGCGCGGGGGCGGGAGGGCGCGCGCAGGGGAGGGACCGAGGGACGCGCCGACTTTTTAGAGGGAGGGATCGGGTGGACTACTGATCCCGCGGCACTTGCAGAGCAGGAAAGAAGTGCCGTGCGAGGCGTTCGGGGGACACTTTCCGGGTGTCGCCGCCTCCCTGTCCGCGCCCGCCGTCGTGGGGGAAAAGCCCCGGAGCGAAGACCAAAGCCCGCGGCGCGGCGGGCGGACGAGCTAGCGCGCAGCAGCCTGTGCGCGGCCGCGGCGAGGGCGGGGGAAGAAAAACACCCTGTTTCCTCTCTGGCCCCCACCGCGGATCATGTTCCAGGATTATCCCGGGAACTTTGACACCTCTTCCCGGGGCAGCAGCGGCTCTCCTGCGCACGCCGAGTCCTACTCCAGTGGCGGAGGCGGCCAGCAGGTAGGTGCGGGTCCCGGTGCACCTGGCGACGCGGACGGACCCCTGCCCCCTCCTCTCACTGCCACTGCCTCCTTTTTTTTTTTTGCTTTCTTGCCTTGACGAGAAAATACTTACGGGCCACCATTGTAAGCTGTGGATTTTTGTTCCGTTCTGCCCCACCCACCCCCACCACTTTTTTTTTTCTTTTTTTAACTGAAGCGGAGGGGGGGGTGAAGAGCAAATCCTTTCCTTTACATTACCTCTTTTCCAGGAAAGCTCCTGGAATTGCAAGTTCTCTCCCGAACTTGCCTCCTTTCAGACCTCTCCTCCCCCGCCCCCACCCCCCATTCCATCTTCTCCTTTCTCGGTGGTGGACAGGCAAATCTTTGCACCCACTAGCAGCCAGGGTCCTGTTCCTGCGGGAAAAACTTTTTTTTCCCCCTACTCTCCATTACTCTTAGCTCATTTCTGGAAAAAGGTTGGGGACTCAGAAACATAGTTGGCTCCTTCAAGTATTCCGGAGTGAGAGCTTGGGGTGCCTCTGGGAATCAGGTGCGAAGGTCAGGAAGGAAGAGACCGACCTTGATTGGCTCCTGACGCCTCCTGTGTGTCCCAGCCAGTTTCCTGTAAGGGTCGGGGCAGGAGCCTGCACTGCCCCTGGAGGAGCGCCTTGAGGGACTCGGGGTACCTGGGGCAAGGAAGTCAGCAGAAAGAAGTGGGGGAAAGAGACATCACTCGGGCTCCTGGGTGGTTCTGGAAGCAGAAAAACAACTCATTTCTAAAGCAGCCGGACTGGTTTGCACTGGAGGGATTGTGCCTGTGATCTATGTGTCTACAAATACCAAAAAGGTGCTGATGGGGTGATGGTGCTGGTGGGATACCTGACCTCTGCAGTCACCACTCCTTGTGAGGAAGCTGGGCTAACACACAAGACCCTCTGCAATGAGAAGCCCACCTCGTTCAGCATCTGTGCATCCCTGACCAAGTTGGCTGCAGCATGAGTTGCTCCATAAGGCAGTGAACTTGGCTTCTAGATGCTAGCCAGAGAGGAGGGGTTGGGGTGGGCTTTCTGGAAGGGATGGACTGAGCTGGAGAATATAATAGAAGCATGGCTCAATTTTGGATCTGAAGAGGAATATCTGTTCCAAATTGATGCACCATACCTGTGAGACCCTGAAATGGCTTTTCTGTGTCTTCCCTTACCCACCTCCAATACCCCTTAAATACTCCCCATAGAGAGCCTAGAGTATGCATTGAGGGTGCAGTCAATGGTCCCTTTATAATGAACACTAAGGTGGTGAGTTTAAAATCTTCCAGTTGGTGGTTTGTGTTGAATCCGAACCCCATTTAGCAATAGATTGGCGTCATTAATACCTATACCCTTATTTTCCAATTCAACAAACCCAACTGACTCTCTCCTCCTTGAATCAGGAAGGAAGCTTTAGATTTCTTCCCTTTTTGCTTGACACATCTGAGGCAGTAATCATTGACAGAGTACAGTCTCCCTGCCTGGCTTCACCCAGACCCTGGGGCCTGGATGGGAAGTCAGACCGGACATCAGTGCCCCAGTTGAATAATCTGTGTCACTAGGGCTTTGAGCCCAGGATGTGAGCCTAGGCAATTCCCTGTTTTGGAAGCCAATCAGACAGGAAACCAGTGCTAGGATGAAGGAAGAGAACTCAGTCCAGCACAGTGTAATGGGGCCTCATTATCGAAGCAAAAAGCAGCTGTTGGCTAATTCCTAGCATGCTGTAACACATGAGGATTTTGCAATTAGCAATAACCAGTGCATGGGGTTCTCATGTCTGTCTTCCCGTGCAGACCAGCAGTGCAAGTGAGGTGCCCTTCAAACCAGAGGGATTGGCAAGGTAATCCTGCTTTAGCCAAGTTTCTCTGCCTGCCTGCTCACTCTTTTCTCTTTGGTGGTGGTGGTTTCTAAGCGGTGAGGAACAGCAGTGGAGAGGGGGAGAGAATTTTTCCATCATTGCTCCAACTGTTCTCTGGTTGTAAGAACTGGCCTCAGAGCTTTTGTTACTTTGCAAGTCTGTGCTATGACCCCGCCCGATCCAGGCTCAAGGTAACTTTATTACATACCAGATAAAACCTGTAATCATTTTATTTCTCTCAGCTTCCTTTATGGGAAGACTTTTCTGGCAGTTAGTGGATGGGCCTTCCTTCTTTATGGCACTGCAGTGGACCAATGAGTGTGAGACCTTCTCTGATTTTCCTTGGGCAAGTGAATGTTATATTTTCTTTGTCTCCTTGTTTTTGGGGTCCAGTATTCTCCATAGCTTTGTTGTACACTCAACTCAGAGCTTTTCTCTTTTGCATAAGGTGTCATCTTAACATATGACCTTGAGTTGTAGTGAGTTGGGGTGGGGGAGACAACTCTTTGTTAAAGACTTGATTCTCATATACGGCAGGAACTTGAAACATGAAAAATATTTCCTGTTGCAGTTACAATTTTAATCTCAAAGGTTGATCACTGGTGATTTGGTTTTGCTAGGAATAGTTGCACACTTCCCCGTCCTGGGGTTTGCTTTTTGTTGTTATTTTTTCTCTCCTAACTTTCCTGGGACAACACCTCCAGATAGATGCCCTTCCTGGCTGCTTGACTGTTACGGTTTTAGGGCCTCAGCATTACGCAATCCAGCCAGTTACACAAACATAGGTCATTTCATAACTTGTTTTCATCAGCCAGGCCCCCTTTTAATGAAAAAACAAAACAAAAAAAAGACACAGAACTTTTCCAAGGCTACTATCTGCCTGTTTCTCAGAAAACTTGTGAAAACAAATCAAGTGGGTTATTTTCTTTTTGGAATCAAGGAATATTAGATGAGCTCTCTTCTTCCTCACCTACCCTTTCCCAAGACACAGACACAGAAAGACAGACAGACACACACACACGTATGCACGCACGCACGCAGGCAGGCACATACAAAATTCCCCAGAGTGAACTTTTGCCAACTGTACCAGGCTGGGACATTCCTCACATCAAAGAACTTTTTACCAGAAATGACTGTGATTCCCAAGTCAGTTCTCAACCATGCCTCTCTACTGCCCCCTACAGGACATTTTTAGAAAACTATCTTGGGAATGTATTTTTCCAGACCCAGTGTTAACTTGGTTAGTTTTATAAATTCTTAGGATTTTTTCTCCCATATAGTTAACAGTGGTTAACTGTGAACTGCTTGAATTGAAAACAAATTCATTAAATAATTTTTTTTTATGTTCTAAATAAAACCTGGTTGGAAAGGAGTGTTTTTTTCCTTTTCTTTTGTCTATTCTGGTGTGTGTGTGTGTGTGTGTGTGTGTGTGTGTGTATGTTCTTTAGGGTGCTTGCATAGTGTTTTCAAATTCCCAAGGCTTGTTTTCCTGATGCATTTATATGGGTGTAGGGTTGTTCAAATCTGGTGGAAAGGTGAGAGATGTGTATTAAGGGCCTGCATATTTTTCATTTTTTTGCCTAGATCTTAAAGATGTCAATTAGGAGCAAGCAAAATGTTATCCCAGGAATTTATCTGTTCCATTGATTCTTGATGGTGGAAGTCAGCTTCACTTTTTCAGTAAAGCAAATGGGTAAAATAGCGGTCATGTATTGTCTGAGTGGCAGTTGAATTTTCCTTTCCGAAACCTTGAGTGCATTTCCATAACTGTATTTCTGCCTGTCTTGTTATTCAAGATGAATGTAAATTAGGTGACTTGGGCTTTTTTCTATCTTAATAATATAAAACACACCAGAACTCCTACATCAAATTACTGTTGTCCCCTTCATCTTTGTTCCTTCAGGAGACTATATACTTATTTGAATGCCCCTCTTTTGGAATTGCTTTCAGCAATTCTGTTGAAAATTCTCCCTGCTATCAAATCTTTTTTTGAAGGTAATTTGGGGGAGGGGCAATACTGGGGGTTGAGCTTGGGGCCTGGCATTTGCTAGGCAGGTGCTCTACCACTTGAGCCATACCTCCAGCCCTTTTGGGGTTGGTTATTTTTTATATAGGGCCTAATTTATGACCAGCTAGCCTGGATGTAGTTGGGGATGTCAGGTATGCCATCGCCCAGTCATTGGTTGAAATAAGAGTCTCCCGAACTTTTTGCCTGAACTGATCTTGAACCACCATCCTTATCTCTGCTTTCCAAGTAGCTAGGATTACAGGTTTGAGCTATTGAGAGCAGCTGTGAAGGTTAAATTCACAAATTAACAAACGATCCTTGGAACCAAGTCTGGCATATATAAGGTGTGGGTCCAATATAGAGTGTGACCCAAGTCCCACTGCTCTGTCTTGGAGTCTACCTGGGAGAATACTGCCCACTACAGAGCCTACCAAGGTAGACAGTACCTTTGACATCTGTACCTTGGGTTTTTTTTTTTTTTCTCTTCTGTTAAACAAGAATAAAGACACTGTTTTTGAGAATTAAGGAAACTAACTTCCTGTTCATATGTTGAAAAAAATCATTATTTTGTGGACATGTCTCATCCATGTTATGTGTGGTAACTTTTGGAGGCAACAACATTTCAAAATAATGATAGCTGCTCAAATTGAGGTAAATGTAACTGTTCCAAAGCCCATTCGGTACTTTTGCCCCTCCTCAGCAGCCTGGGCTAAAGAGAGGAGGTCTTTTGTCCAATGCTGTCTCTCAGTGCTTTCATGTGACTAGTGTTACCAAGCTCATCCTTCTGTGGTCCTAAGGGAAGATGAGATGGCAGGCCTTTCCATTGAGAGCTACAAGGGTTGGTGGCAGTAGGAGTAGTGGAGTGAATTCTCCAGTGCTTTGAAGTGCTTCTGGTAAGAAGACCCCTGGGAGCAAAGGAACAGGAACCTGTGGGTCATTCCATGTTAGCCACTATCATCTTCTCCTTGCTTTTTCTTTAACTTTGCTTTTCCTCAACCTGGAAGTAAGGTGACAGAGGCTAGAGTGGCTCTTCCAAGTGATGCTGGAAAAGAGAGGAGGCTAGTAGGAGGCTGGTTGCCTGAGAGGGTATACAAACACTGTACACAGTACAACTATTAGAAAGCTTTGAAATCATGAGTTATCAGCAGCAATTTCCATTGTGACATAGTGACATTTCCTCAGAAAAGAATGAAAGGGTAGAGGTCAAAGTGGTGCCCAATGTAGATTCTGTGAAGACTGGTAGATTTCCAGACTGAAGGTGTCAGTGGACACCAGGGCTTGGTGAAGACAACCCGCACTTGTATGGTGCTGGTTTTGGATCTCAGCAGGGATGGTATGGGAAATGTGGAGCTAGCATTTGCATTTTCTCTTTCTTTTCCCCTGAGCCAATCTTCCAGGGCGTTAAAATTTCTCCTTTTTTCACCTTAAAAATCTAGAAAAGAGAAAGAGCCCAGTTCCTTTTTCGACACCATACCTATCTTCTTGATGGGGCATGTCAGAGTCCACAGGGTTCATGTCTTAAATGCTTGGGGACCCCAACAAGAATCAATTTGATGGTGAAGTGCCCGATTGAAGGAATAGGCCAAGAATATCAAAGATGACTTCTATTCCAAATACCGTATCTACTGAGATCAGGAATCCCTAAGAAAAGCCCAGCCTCATCCAGGCCTGTAGGAAACAGGGGCCCAAACTCTTGCTCTGAAAACATTCAGCAAAAGACTGTAAGTCTGATTCTCATTTCTGAATCCAAGGTCCTGCTGTAGAGTTCCAAAGACTGTTTTTCCAAGTCACAGCTACTAGGCTGTGAGACTTTCTGGCCTGCTGGAGATGGTCCTGGGTTCCAGCGTATCTCTTATTGACCAATGGGAGGGGCTCACACGTACTCCCTGAGGAGGCAGCCCATAATACACTAGGTACGTGGTATCACCCAGTGGCGCCCATGCCCAAAGACCATACAAGGCTTGTGTTTGAACTTCCACTCAGAGCCTGGAGATCCAAGCTGATGAGTGAGGCCCATCCCCTTGGCTTTCTGGGTTCAAGGGATCTCTCAGTTCTGGTTTTACCTTATTTCCTCTTTATTCTTTTCCTTCAACCTGAGTGTAGAAAATGAGAGTGATCCTTTAGCAATGAGATTGATGCTCTTTTTGTAAATGAAGTTTAATGGAACCCAGGCACGTCTGCCTATTTTCTTACATATTATTTATGGCTACTTTCAAACTACAAGTGGTAGAGCTGAGTAAAAACACAGACTGTATGGCCTAGAAAGCCTGAAGTATTTGCTGTCTGGCCCCTATAGCAGAGTTTGCCAGGCTGCTCTCTGAGGTCTGTGGGGGTCTGCTTTGTCCTTTTATAGGCATTCATCCAGAAATCGACAGGGAGACACAGTTAATACAGTATTTAGAAGTTTTGCCAGGCTGGAATGCCACACAGCCATCCAGAATCTTTAGTCCTGACTCTAGAGGAAGAGCTTCCAAGGGGGCTAGAGAGCCCGAGGGCAGCCAGGTCCCATGTTGCCTGTCCCATCCTCCCACTGCTGGCATGCCCCTGACACCTGGTGCTACAACAGCTAAAACTGTCCTGATGCCTGCAGCTGGGAAACTCTGTCTTGGCTCCTGTTTAATCTTAACTCATTTCAGAGAGCCATGACTTATCCCCAGCAGGACATTTGGCTGATTCGTGAGTCTGCTGGCATAGAAGAATATCTGGTTAACTGCTGAGACCACAAACCCTCACCTCACCTCTTCTTTCCTACCCAAGTGTCCCTTTCTGAATAACACGTTTGGAGTTGAGACAAGACCCATCTGCCAGGTCTAATTGAAACTTTTGTGTGTCTCGAAGAGGTTCCTCTGGAGACAAAAGCCTTCTTTATCAGGCCTCAGTCCCCTCTGGGGATGGGACATTGTTTTCCTTGCAGTTCAGAGCCAGTGTGTTATTCAGATGGCTGTACCTCTGTCTGAAACAAGGTGTACATGAGTTTCAGAGGCAGTCATTACCTCCTGCCTTGTTTTTATTGCTATCTTGTTTTGTCTAGACCAAGCCCTCACTGTAAGGAATCTGGCCAATGCCCACCGGGAAGCACATTCTGTGGACCTGCCATTCACAGAACGGGTGGACTGGAGGGTCTAGGAAGGGCTAGGAGGCACTCATTCGTCCCTAAGGAATTTTAGTCTCCCAGCTTGGTCTTTGGTTTTTGCTTGCTTCCCCAAACCTAAAACAGGTACATTGTTAGTGCTTGGAATGAGTGCATTTCTTGGGTGCTTTCCTGAGCAGAAAGCTGACAGCTGCCCTGTGGAGGAGGTGGTCATACTAGATCATTGCACTGGACACCCCAGGTCCACTTCCAACCCAGAACCTGACTTGGTAGAGAAATGGAATATGAAAATGAGAGGCAGACAGTTCTCCCCAGAGTCACCCTGTGCAGAGTGCACAGACCCATGTCATGATGACACTATGATGATGGTGGTGATGGCGACAGTGATAACACCTTCCTTTTGTTTGGAGCAGTGTTTCTCCACCCTGGCTGTACCTCAGAATCTCCTTGGGAGTTTAAAAAATACTGGTATCAAAACTCTCTACCTCCAGCCAATTATTTTATTTTGGAACTCTAAGGATGGGGCTTTAACATTGGTGTTTTTCATAAGCTTCTCAGAATATTCTCAGCCAGGGTTGAGAACCAGTAGTGTGCTTCGCAGCCTGTGATTACAAGTAGCTACTTATTTAATCCTTGTGACAGTACAGGGAATTCAGTGTTTGTGTCCTTTTTTTTGTCCTGGAATAGAGTCCTTAGTGATTGGCCCATGGCAGAACCAAGCTTTAAACCCAGGCTTCCCAATTCTTAAAGTGCAGGGTTGATTCCCCGTCCCTATCCAGCAGCTGGAGAGAAAAGTCTTTGTGTGAGACTTGGTGCTTCTGCACACCCTTAGGCATGCTGCTGTTCTCCTAGCTATGCCTCCTTGCAGCCCAGCCCTTGTTGTCCATTTTTACCTCTTGAAGGTCATTACTTACATGATCCTTGCATTCTTTCTTCCTTCACAGACACACACACACACACGCACGCACACACACCCCTGTTTTTTTTCATATAGGTCCTGGTTATCTTTGCCTTTTGAGGTGTAACTCAAAACCATCACTGGGGTCAGCTGTTCTCTCAAATGCCAGAATCTATCGCACTGGATAACCTTCCTCATAGAATCCCAGAATCCATTGCTGTGGGCAGCTCTCCGGATGTAATCCATTGTATTGTATTGAGCAGTTCTCTTTACTGAATGCTCATGTAAGGGCCCTGGGACAGTCTGGGAAGTGAGGCACCCATATTCTACCCCCTGGACTGTGGTCGGGTAGGTGGTGAGGAAGTGTCCCTAGCTCTGTCAGTTGCAGTGAGGTACTCTAAGCTTCACTTTATATAGCAGGAGCCCTGATATTGTCACCAGAGGCAAAGACAACAGAGGTGGCAGCTACTAATGCTTATAATCCCGTTTGGTCTGATTGGACAGGAGTAGGGGACACAGTAGCATCTGAACTAATGGTAGCAGGATTTCATTTGGAGCCAAACAAGATTTGTGGTGAGATTTGTTAGTGAGAGGGAAAAACTGTAGGGACCATTGGCAAGGATGATCTGTCTAAGGACAGTGGGTACACAACCAGCACATAGGGCCGGGTTTTGAGGAAGAAAGAAGCTTCTGTGGCACCATGTTGCGAGCTCTGGCATCTTTGTCATGCTGAACTAGATTTAAATCCTGACCCTACTTATTAGCAGTGTGGCCTTGGATAAGTTACTTAATCTCTCTCAGACTAAGTTTCTGCTTCTAAAATGGAGATAATGGTCATACTTACCTCAGAGAGAGAATTAATGAGATAATGTAGGTGTGACAGTAACAGACTGTCATTTAGAAGGGGTTAGCTATTATTATTGTCATCATTTCACCCATGAAATTGGGGGTGGGGACTGGATAAGCTGGATTCACCTGGGTCTGTTGAGGGCTATATCCTGAAATGGTAGAAATGGTGGGGGGGGGGTCTCCCCTTTCACTTTCGTGGAGAAAGTTCTGCCTGACTGCTGAGGGACCTGGTTGCTTTTGTACTGTGTCATTAGCTCATATTTTAAATAGAAGGCTTCCTGCAGCACGTTTGGAAGAACTCTACAGCGTGGTCTGGGTATAAATTAAGAGACTAGGAGAAAACTCTGAGCTGGTAGCACCCATGTTTCCCACAGATACATCTGTGAGCCTGGATAGACAGATGTGGAGATAGTAGAGAGAGACACAGCACATCTGCCCCAAGCAAGTTGCAGTGGAAGGGAAGGAGAAGGGAAACAGCAAGAGGAAGTCTGGGCTTTGGTTCCAAGCATTGGAGGACTCCATATCGAGGACCTGACCTTGCCCCAGTGGGGTCATGGTCCCATCCTGAGCCTCCTTGAAAAGTGACAAATGCAGACACAAAGTTCTTCTTGGTGGGTGATCTTTCTTGATTCAAAGCTGCTGGTGTGCAAATCTCTAAGTCAAGGTGTTGTGAGCCAGAATTCTGAGAATAATTGTCTGGTGACTCAGAGGCTCGGGAGGTCCAGGTGCCATATCCTGCAGATATGTGCCCTAGAGGGTTGGAGGGTAAGTGTGAACAATTAGGCATCAGTGTGGAAGTCATGTGAGACATGGCAGCATCTTCACCAAGCCACCTGAGGGATGAAGTCCTCAGGACCCCAGGCAGGGGATAGATCCATTGTGAGGCCCCAGGAAGAGTTAAGATTCTCCTGATTCTTGGTTGTGTGGGACTTGCCCATGGAAGCCCACCTGGGTCCTGACCTTGCTCTCCACGTACTGACCCTGTGGTCTGTGGGTTTTGGCCTCTGCTCTGCTTGTCCCGTTCTTCTCAGTGTTTCTTGGCTCCATCATACTTTTCTCCTCGTTTCAGAAGTTCCGGGTAGATATGCCTGGCTCGGGCAGTGCCTTCATCCCTACCATCAACGCCATCACCACCAGCCAGGACCTGCAGTGGATGGTGCAGCCCACAGTGATCACCTCCATGTCCAACCCCTACTCCCGCTCGCACCCCTACAGCCCCTTGCCGGGCCTGGCCTCTGTCCCTGGACACATGGCCCTTCCAAGACCTGGTGTGATCAAGACCATTGGTACCACCGTGGGCCGCAGAAGGAGAGATGAGCAGGTACAGACCAGCCAGTGGGAAGGAGCTATGTTGGTGGCTTTGGGGGCCTCGGAAGCAGTGGAAATTGGGGTTAATGTTCTGGAAGCATTAGGGAGATGAGGTAGCTAGGCCACAAGGAGCACATCCTTGTGGTTGGTGGCCGAACTGGAGACCTGAGGGGCCTGGCTGTCATGTCACTGTGTCCTTCAGAATCTCTGAATCTGTTTCTTCAGCTGCAACATGGCGATAATGGTCCCCGCCAGCCTGCTTGAGGGAGATCATGAGTGGAAAACACAGCGTAGGTGGAAAGTGTCAGTGAATGGGGAGAGCTGTCATGACCTTCCTGTGGCAGTGTCCTGCTCTGAGCTTTGGCAGAGGGTCCTGGGACAAACACCATTGACTCCTGGCCTTGGGCTTTTGTGGTTTTGCCCCTAACTGTCTCCCAGTGTTGGATGCAGCCAGGCACCCAAGCAGACCTAAAGGGTCCCACTCTAGGCAAGTGCTGCCCACGTGACTTTCCATTCCTCCTCAGTGCCCCAGGCCTCTGACTTAAATCAGTATCCCATACCAAGTACCTAGAATGCAGTCTTTAAAGTAGTGACTCAGGGGCCTCAGAGTTCAGCTGCTTTAGATGCTGGGGGCGGTGGGAGTGGCACACATCAGGTTTTTTTTTTTTTTCCTAAAGGGGCTCAGTTTTGAGAGAAAGCTAGCTTTGTTGGGAGGAAAGTCAGAAAATGGCAGGCCTCTGCTTTTCAGGAAATAAGTACCTAGTATTCAAAAGGCCCATCATCCACATCAGTAATGAGCTAGGGCCATGCTGAGTCCTATGGTTCTAGGAAGAGAAATCAGAATGGTGCATAATTCCTGAAAGAAGAGACTGATGCCTTCAGAGAGCCTGGGCTCCCTTGGCAAGCGAGTGGGAGTGGGGCAGTCTGGACTGGACCCAGTTCCCAGACTCCCTGGGCAGTGCTCTTCCTGCAAGGCTGGGACACAATGAGCCCAAGGAAGGGAAAACACTTTCACAGTGGAACTCTTTTTCCAACAAAATACGAACCTGCAGAAGTTCTCCAGTTGTAGCAGCACTGGGATCCTTCACATTCCAACTACTGTGCATTTCTACTCTGGGATTCCCCAGGTCCACAAGTTCTTCAGTACAAAGGCCTTATCTACTGGTGTCCAGTGATACAGTGGATCCAGGGCCTGTAGTTCCCAGCATACTTAGAATTACAGGGATTTGCACTCCAAGGAACTGAAACTTCCCTCAGGAGCCCTGTTCCTCCGAGGACAAAGCTGGGCTGGTCCTTGAGTGGTGGGACCACAGTACAGGGCCCACAGGGAGGTTAAGTGTAGGATGCCATAACAGATCACAGTTGCACGTTGGGCTTCTGCTGCTGGGGTAAAGGCCACTTTCCCCTCCCCGTTGCTTCCCATAGTTGCAGTTATCATGGTAGCAGTGACCACAGTGTCCTTTATAAGTATGTTGTCTGCAGGTGAGTTCAGTTGCAATGCTTCATAGTCACTGACAAGCCAGGTTCTCCTTTAAGTAACATTGAGTGAGAGCCAGACTCGTGAGGGCTTTTATGGGCTGGTAGAACAACAATACAAGAGGTGCTGAACACTCTTCTTTACTGGGTCTACCTTACACCATGTCTAAAGGGATTTTTGGAGACCATCTTTTCTGGTTTTCCCTCTGTACCCATCTCATAGATAAACAAACTGAGGCCAGAAAGGAGAGGAACCCTGGCCAGAGTCATACAGTGACTTAACAGCAGAGCCAGGACTGGGAATTCACCTCTTTGACCTTCAGCTCTGTGTTTTTCCCATGACACCACCTAGGCGGGCCCTAAGACAATCTGTCTGGAGAATTTCCTTCCTTTTTTGAGAGGGAGGGAGAAAGGGAACAAGCCAGGAACATTTTATCCCACCCCAATTAGGAGTTCCGACAATCACGAGGCAACCTTGAGGAAGCCTGGGCAGTAGCATTCTAGAACCTTGGTTCTCAGGTTCCTGCCTGGAGTCTTTTCTCTGCTGTTTACTTTTGTCTCCCCTCATCCCCTGGAGCCTCATGGCTCTCCTCCACAGCCTGCCCAGAAGGCTTCTTCTGAGCCTGGGCTCCTGGACTGAGGGGGCGGGGAGGAGAGGGTGTGTGTAGCTTGTGGGTGGATCCCTGGTGGTGCTGACACACTCAAGCTGTAACCGTGTTGATCTCATCGCCCCTGAACACTTCCTATGTCGGCAGCGCCCACAGATTGCCCCACACCTCACCAGACAGGGAGAGACTTCTGAGCCAAAAGTCATCAGTGGGGAGGAAGGCTTGAAGGGGACCTCGGTTAGCTCTTTGTCTTATATACCCCTCAGAAGCAAATTGCTGGGGCTGGGGTGTGTATGGGGGTGTGTTTCTGGGCCTTCATGGCTGCCCTGGTGACCCTTTCAGTGGTGAGCCCTAAACCCAGGACTGCAGCAGGGCCATGGGCTGTCTTGGTAACTAACTCTGTTGGGCTTAGATTGACATAGGCTTTGAATCAGCATGTGTTTAGGCCTTGGTCAAGTGGCTTGGTGACCTCAGCTAGGCTGTGAAGTCATCTCTGCTTAGACAGGTATGGAATTGACCTCTGATGCTCTGTCCTACTGTGATGCTGTTCCAGACATGACAACAGACTGCCAGGGTGGCAGGGAGTATCCTGGGATTCTCATCTGGGCCCATCCAGGAGAGTGGATAGTAGCTCTGTCCCTCGTGAGGTGGCCAGCAATCAAGGCAGCATCCCTTGATGGGACAGCTTCTCTTCTCTCCCCCAAAGCTGGCTTCAGCCTTCCTCCCACCCCATAAGTCCTTAGAATACAGGAGCTAGGTCCTATTCTACTTGGAATTTCTAAGCCCCCAGCACAGCACTGGGAATGAAGCAGGCGTGCATCAATGTCTGATAACTGAATGAAGAGCTCTTCTTTTGCCTTGCTTTCTGCTTTGCCCCTTAGCCATCTCCTTGGGTCATCTCTGCCTGAGAAGGGCTTTAGGGTCACAGCCCTGGATGGGGTCTATGTGAACAGAGTATCAACCTTATCTAGCAGTTCTGAGTCCCTAGCCAGCCTCATCACAAGAAGCGAGGTTCTGAGCTATTTGCAGGGAGGTCTTCCTCCTAGAACCATGTCTGACATGAAGAAGGTGCTTATTTGGTGAATGAAAGGGTGGGCAGTAGGAGTTAATGTGCCTGGGGGATCCTCCTCCTTTTGCATTTCCTACTAAGCCTAGGCACTGTGTCAGACTCACTGGGGGGGTCCTGGGGGTGACCCATGAGCAGCTGGCACTCTGGTGCTGGCAGCAGGAATTGGGAATATAGAGGTACCTGTGGTCTTCCCATTGGCAGCAGAACATTGCCCTCTGGGTGGATCGTGTCTGTATGGGGACTCTGGGCCCAATTGTGTAACCAAATGGGGATAATGAGGCTTGCAAAGCTGGCAGAGTGATGGGGAGGAGTAATTAGCCAGAGTTTGGGCGAAGCTGCTGCAATGGGTGGGGCCAAACCTGGCTGCTGGGGACTCCTCTCTGCCCTGGCCTTTGAATCAGTGCTGACATGACAGATACCACCATGTGCAGGGACTGCGGAGTCCCTGACCCATTGTTGTCCTGCTCTCTGTTTAAACATGCAACATCACCTTCCGGGCCGATTTCAGCAACAAGTGCCTTTCAGGCAGCCACACCGCAGGCAGCTGCATGTGCTGGGACCTCTGAACTCAGCCACACTCCTCTGCCCTCCTTCCTCCCCTCCCCACTTGCCTTAATTAAAAACAGTGTTCTAAAATGCTGTGAGCCACTCACCCCATTCTAATCATGATTCTTGACCTTGGCCTCTAGCTGTCTCCTGAAGAAGAGGAGAAGCGTCGAATCCGGAGGGAGAGGAACAAGCTGGCTGCAGCCAAGTGCAGGAATCGTCGCAGGGAGCTGACAGAGAAGCTGCAGGCGGTGAGGAGCATTGCATGGGGGCCAGTGGGAGGGGGGGAGACACTCTGTCCTTGCTCACAAGTGCCTTACACACGAGTCAGTGGAGATAGAGCACCTGGATCAATAGTGTGCTGAATAACAGAGAGAGAGAGAGAGAGAGAGAGAGATTGAGAAAACAAATGAACAAACTGGCTTTTGCCACCAGCTTGGACCTGGGCAGTCTTTGTGGGCCAACACATTTTTTCACTCAGTTCCTGAGTACTGTCTGCTCTCAGAACTACTGGAGCTTCTGGGTGAGGGATGGCAGAGAGCATAGATGTCATCAGTTCCTAGGAGCCAGGGCAGATCCAGACCTGCCCCTCCCGGGCTGTTTCCCAGTGTTCCAGCCACCCCATGCTTGCTGCCCGCAGGAGTGGCCCAGCCTGGCTTAAGCACTCTGGTTTGATGGGTGGAGGGGCCTGATGAAGACAGGCCGCATGTCAGTTGAGTTGTATTTTCTTGGGGTTTTCTCATATTCTTCATGACCAAGAAGGTTCCCCATGGTCATGGTACCTCATTTTGTCCTGTGAGTCACCCTCCCATGCTTCCTAATTGCTCAGACCTGGGGGCCCGTGGCTCTGCCCCCTCCCTCTCATGATCTTGACCTGACCAATGTCATGTAATGCCCTCCAGAACCTGGCCCTAAAGGAAGGGCTGTGTGCCATGTGGAGAATGCCTAAAGCCAGGGCTGACTCCACCAGGTGGAATGTTTTTCAAAATGAGGAGCTGAGCGAGACCCTGTCGGTGGTCCTCACAATACCCTCATGGGGTGGTACTTTAGAAAATATCTGTTAGTGTCTTTAATCTTCCCAGGTACTAGCCACTCATGTAAGCTTCCTTGTGTTCATCCTGCAGCCTTTGCTCTTAGGCATTGAACATGTACTTCATGAATTCCGTGACGTCCGTAGTAATGTCCCACGGAAGTGTTAGAGACAGGGAAGTGGATGAGTGGATGGGAGGTCTCCATCCCCAGATGAGGTGGATCCAAGAGTGATCAACACTCCCCAGACACTCCCCCAACAGAGCCCCCCCACCGCCACTGCTAACCTTTCTCTGGCCTGGCACTTCAGGTAGCCATGTCCAGTGTAACTTCCTGAGATGTTCCCTACTGCCAGCCCTCAAATAGCCTCCCCTCTGAGGTCCCTCTGTCTTCCTCCCCTCCACCCAGAACTCTCACACCCTAGTCCCCCGCCTCCCCCGCCCCTGACCCAGCCACCCAGGCCCCTGAGCCACATCCTCCACAGGAAGCCTCTCATAAGCTCATGACGTTTGTCAGACCCTTGAGACAGATGGAAACTTTTTTTTCACTCCGGAATATGCTGCACTCTGCTTAATGAAGCTCTTGCCGGTATCTCCTCCTTTATGACCAGGAATCCATGTTAGGGAAAAATCGAGGAGGAGGCTGATGACGCACCCCCACTCTCCACCAGCCCTCTCCACGTGTACTTGTGAAGGAAGGGGGCTGAGATCATTTCACGGTGCTCTTGCATCCCCACAGGATCTTGCAGGAGGCTGTCAGGTGCCTCTGTTGTCAAGTGTGTGGCTGAACTGCATGTTTACTGAGGTTCTGAGTCCTAGGACACAGGCTTCAGAAATTAGAGCAAAAAAGAAGGGATCCAAAAGGGATTGGCTGAGCACTTACTACAAACCAGGCACTGTGCTAGGACTGGGACTATGTATGACAAAGTCTCTGCTCTCATGTACCTTCAGGCTCTGTGTCACTGTGTCCACAGCGAGCCTGGCATGGGGCTGAGGAGGGAGATAGGTGAGATTCATCTTGTGCTCCCTTTTTCATGCAATCCTCTTTTACCCCTGGGGGACCAAGGCAGTAAGTAGTAGTGGACTTTGAAGTCAGATACATTGGAATTCAAATCTGGGCTACACTACCTGCTAGCTCTGACTTTGAACAAATTACTCAACCTTTCTGAACCTTGGTTTCCTTATCTGCAAAATGGGTTGATGATAAAATCTGCTTTCAAAAACTTCTGGAGGATCAAATGAAATAATCTATGCAATGCTTAATGCAGTGCCTGGCATAAAGTTAAGCGCTGGATTATGGCAGCTGCAGTGTTATTTTATCCCTCCTCCAAGCCAATTTTCCTCCTTTGGAAATAAAAGGAATTGTGAGGGGGGTGGGGGGGGGGGGGGGGGGGGGGGCGGGGGGGGGGGGGGGGGGGGTGGGGGGGGGGGGGGGGGGGGGGGGGGGGGGGGGGGGGGGGGGGGGGGGGGGGGGGGGGGGGGGGGGGGGGGGGGGGGGGGGGGGGGGGGGGGGGGGGGGGGGGAGGGGGTGGGGGGGGGGGGGGGGGGGGGGGGGGGGGGGGGGGGGGGGGGGGGGGGGGGGGGGGGGGGGGGGGGGGGGGGGGGGGGGGGGGGGGGGGGGGGGTGGGGGGGGGGGGGGGGGGGGGGGGGGGGGGGTGGGGGGGGGGGGGGGGGGGGGGGGGGGGGGGGGGGGGGGGGGGGGGGGGGGGGGGGGGGGGGGTGGGGGGGGGCGGGGGGGGGGGGGGGTGTGGTGTGGGGGGGGTTGTGTGTGTGTGTGTGGGGGTGGGGGGGGGGGGGGTGGGTGGGGGGGTGGGGGGGGGGGGGGGGGGGGGGGGCGTGGGGGGGGAGGGGGGGGGGGGGGGGGGGGGGGGGGGGGGGGGGGGGGGGGGGGGGGGGGGGGGGGGGGGGGGGGGGGGGGGGGGGGGGGGGGGGGGGGGGGGGGGGGGGGGGGGGGGGGGGGGGGGGGGGGGGGGGGGGGGGGGGGGGGGGGGGGGGGGGGGGGGGGGGGGGGGGGGGGGGGGGGGGGGGGGGGGGGGGGGGGGGGGGGCGGGGGGGGGGGGGGGGGGGGGGGGGGGGGGGGCGGGGGGGGGGGGGGGGGGGGGGGGGGGGGGGGGGGGGGGGGGGGGGGGGGGGGGGGGGGGGGGGGGGGGGGGGGGGGGGGGGGGGGGGGGGGGGGGGGGGGGGGGGGGGGGGGGTGGGGGGGGGGGGGGGGGGTGGGGGGGGGGGGGGGGGGGGGGGGGGGGGGGGGGGGGGGGGGGGGGGGGGGGGGGGGGGGGGGGGGGGGGGGGGGGGGGGGGGGGGGGGGGGGGGGGGTTGGGGGGGGGGGGGGGGGGGGGGGGGGGGGGGGGGGGGCGGGCACCAGACGGTTCCTGTCCCTTTGTTACGCTGTTGTCTCTGGAAGTGACGGTGTCCTTCCCTGCTCTCCCCAAGCATGCTCCGTGCTTTTTGGATTCATCTTCCCTCAACTTGCCCCTTCCCTCCCCCAATGTCAGTTTCAGTCCTTCTTGGTTTTTATCAAATTTGCCATGACATTTCATCTGGGTGGTCTGGATGTGAAAGCTCTTCATTTCTGGAGATGGGGCAGGATATGGCTCTTCCACTGGGGCCGACTTGTCCAGAGGGGGCAGTCAAAGTGCAATACAGAACCTTCCCTTCCCAACACTCCCCAGTGCACCACTGTCTCCAGACCACCAGCAGGGCTCCCCATGCCCTCCAGGGGATGCTGCCATCATTGGGAGGCATCAAGAACCCTTTTTCCCCACCTTGGAGATTCTGAGCTCTTGGAGGATTGGCTTGGCCAGAAGACAGGGTGCAACAGCCAGTGCACAGGTTGGGTTTGCCAAATACCTAATTACCAGGCCAGGATTAGTGCCAACAAATCCACACAGCTTCCCTTCATCTGGTGTCTTGAGCAGGGCATCTCTTGCAATTACTGCCTCACCATTCTGCCCCTGGACCCTCCTTTCCAGACCAGGGAGGCATCCCTCCCGAGGAACCACACATCACTCCAAGGTCCTGCCAGGCTCTGCCCTTCCCTGGCTCTCAGGACGACAACACCCACGGAGATTTAATGAGCGTGGACCCTCCCCAGATTTTGGCCAAGTGGCTCCTCCCAAGCCTCAGTGGATGGAAGGACTGGGGAGGGGGGAGGCAGTGAGGGTGGGAATGTCTGCCATAGCAGCAACCCTGGCACCCAGCCTGCCCTGGCCACTTACTTCTTAGTGAGGTGCAGGTCCCTTCCTGACCTCTGTGGTCTCTGCCACCCAATGGATCAAGTGCTTTATTTTCCATACTCCCCCTGTACCACCCCCGAGTGCTCTTCTGGTCCACTCAGCCAGCTGTGAGTAGCTGGCCTCAGTGAGCTCTTGCTGGAGCTTGGGGCTTATGCACCATTCCTGGTTGTCTGTTGAATCCTTCCAGCTGCTGAAATTGGAGATAGGATGGGTTGCTTCCTATGGGTTCCCTGACCTCCAGCAAGAGCATAGCTCCGCGGCACCCTGCTTCCCACCCCTCTGAACCCTTTCTCCACAGAGCATGTTGACATGTGTCTTGAGAAGTGGCTTCTGGTCAGAACTGGCTGCTGCAGGGCTAGTGCTCTGAGGGAGACTAGCTGTTGGCAATTCATCCCTAGAACCGTTGTTTGCCTGTATAAAGTGATATTGATGTTACTTAAACCCAGTGATGGTTAAGTGTCCCAGTCTGACTGGAGAGAGAAGGGACAGCTTTGCATACTTGTTTCTTTCCCACGTGCTGGTTGTTATTTAATTCCATTGCTCACTTACGTGCACTAGACATGCAGTATGGAAGAGCTACATGCTTAAAACACACAGCCCAGTAGGACTGGAAGTGACGTGTGCAGAGGCCTGCCGAGTAGAGGGGATTAAAAGCAGAGAATTTTGTTCCTAGTACTTTCCCCTGGCTGTGATGCTGCCATCCAGGTTTCCCAGGACCTCTGGGAGGGGAAGACTAGGCAATTGAGCTTCAGTCCTTTAAGTAAGCAAAGAAGCAGAAGGAAGCCAGGAGTTGCAGGAGGTGGGCCAAGAAGCCTGGTGTTCTCAGCTTGGAAAGGGTTAATCATCTCAAGCGGTGTTTGTAGTCAAGTGAAGCTATTTGCTTCATTGTGCATATAGATATGTCTTCAGTAGCTGTTTTCTGGTCTTTTATTTCTAAAAGCCCATTTCTGCCCCACTCTGTGCAGCCTGGATCCCAATGCGGGTCATGGCCTGTGACTGGGGGACACTCCTACAACAGTCTGGCTTCTGCTCAGATTTCAAGCTATGTTGGCATTGGCACCAGGACAAGGCACAACCAGCCAACCCCTGGGGACCTCAGAAGTGCTTTTTCTTCATTACTACCTTGCTTTGTCCTAGGAGGTTGTTTGGCTTCCCCAAAGCCAGAGATTATTTGGGAAAGGCTGAATATTCACACCCACCCCAGTCACAAGTGTATTTATCTTCCTTCTGGCTTGCTCTCCAAGTTCACTCATACATGTCACAAACACAAACACACACACACACACACAGACACACACACACACACACACACACAAACACACCGTTGCTCCAGACTCCAGCCACCCAGCCTGTCGCTCCTTCCTGCCTGGCTCTAGCTAAGGGAGCAGCTGCAATGGGGATGCCTTTGTGCTTGGGCGAGGAACTGTTGTGCCTCCCTGTGTCCCCAGCCATGAGGCAGCTGGTGTGGACTCCAGTTGGGCTGCAGGCAGCTCTGGGATGGCATAGGGCTGGCACTCCTTGATCAGCAAGCAAGAAGCACACAGTCCTCATTGCCACCTGGCTGGTCTGTCTGAGAATAGTCCTCCCTCAGGTTGGATAGATTGGGACAAGTGTTGACAAAGGAAAGAAAGTAGATCCCAGGTGAAGCTTAAGAAATTGGCAGAGCCAACTTCAAGCAGAAATTCTCTGGGGAGATTTTCAGAAAGAGTCAAATATTCTGCTTGGCCAGGTGTGCCCACAGTGGCTAGTCACACAAGCATCTCAGAGTCAGGAGCCACCAGACTGCTGCTTCTCCTCAGGCTTTGCGTAAAGGAATCTCCTTTGCTCCTACTTGACTCCAGGTGGGGGCTAGACGACTTGGGGCATTGGGGCTGATTTTTCTCCCTTGATGGACCAACAGTGATCCTCACAAACATCATTTAACTTTCAGGTTGATTTTTTTTTTTCTCAGATCAGACACCCATGTGACACTTTTGGGGAGGAAAAGAATAAGCACCTAAATGGGCCAGGCACTGTAAGGCACTTTTATATTTATCCTCTTTAAGATGAGACTAAGGGATGAGGGCATCCCCTTATAAAAAGCCCCCAAGTAATGACTAATCAAAAACACTTTGGATGAGAAGGTCTTTCTTCAAAGACCTGAGTAGGATTGTCTACAGTTTGATGTTTGTTCTCAAAGATCCATCCCCTGCAGCATCTGCCGACCTCCAAGCTCCTCCTACTTATTTTTTTTTCTTCTATGCTCCTCTGATGGCTAGAGGAGCAGTTGGAGTCCTTTGAGAATTTGTGGACCAATAGGATATGTGGTGTGTATATTTTTCCTTGTAAAACTTAAGTAAAAAGGGTCTTGCTGCATTCTGCTTGTTGAGTTTTCTTGACATCCACCTTAATGGCCAGCATCTCACTATTTATTGACAGGTTGGTGTGTGTGTGTGTGTGTGTGTACATTTCCCTGCGTGCCTGTG